TATTACTTTTTTATACCATAGTAACCATGGAAAATAAGATTTTTAATAAAATATAATTATAGATATATAACATTTCAAAAACTTTTAACAATATATCAATGTAAATAAGAGAAATAATTTTGTAAAGTTCAAACTTGAAACTAATGTTATGGGCTCACATAGGTTGACTTGGATTTCAAAAGACGGAATCGAACTTTCATTAAAGATATATTCGTGACAACGACTTAAGCTAGCTAGGTAAGTGACCTTACTATCGGCATGGTTATATTTGATGTTGACACGTGCCTGTGGTTCTGCACGTGTCATATATACTAATATGTGTGAATTATTTGCGAATCGGTATGCTTATATTATGTTTATGTTATGTTATAATATGTGAATTGTATCATAATAATTGTGGTACGATGTGTTCAAGGATATGTTCGAGATAGGATACGAGAAGAATGCACAAAATGAAATGTAACGATAGGAGTAAGATACGTTCATGAAATGTTAAGATTAGGTTACATACAGGAGTTCTATGGATATGAGTGATTCATGAAAGAATATGGTTAAGATATGGGTAGAAAGGGATAGGTTTGTGGATTGATAGAACGATAGCGTTAAGATACATTCCTGTGATGATATGACTAAGGTACGTTCACGTAACAATATGACTGTGATAGGTATAAGAACGTTAAGGCTATGATATGTTAGGGAACGATATGACCACGAAGTACTTACGATACTCAATGTTTATGATACGTTATATTGTGATGTGATGTGTCATGTTTAGATTGTTTTGTGTGACCATTGAGGTAATTGTTGTATGAATTGAACGTTATGAAATGACATGTTGAACGTTATGAAATGACATGTTAAAAGCATGGAGCGTTATGTTATGTTTTCTAAATTGTATGTATACAGCATGTTATGAATGACATGATATCACAACAAATGAAATGAAATGAAAAGTAACCCCGCTAGAATTATGTATAATACGTAGACTAAAAATGAGAAATGACATGTTAAACATGAAAGATGATAGCGGGGTTATATTCGTTAATCATAAAAGTAGAAATATTAGGGACCTCATGCATTATGTGCTCATGCATTTGGGGGATACCCCTATTCCATCACAAGGGTACGGATGCGTACATCCAATGGCAGGACAACGATCGTTATGTTTGCATAGCATTGCCGTGACGGTGACTAGTTCTAACGGGTGTCCGGTCTAAGGAGCTCCCAGCGGCCCAACAGTGTTCGCCGGACAAGGTAAGGTAAGTGGCCCAGCGGTGTGCGAACTGACTGGTGAGCCCATACTCGCATGTATGAGTTGTGTGTAGAGTATATGATACATGTCCAAATTATCCGTTAGAACAGCACCGTAGGAAGATAGATTGAAAGATAGGTCCCATCATCTTGTTTGCATGTGATTGTTGCATTTAACCCCAATAGTGGGGTCACTTACTGAGTATTTTTTTAAATACTCGAGCCATATGCTATTACATTTTTCAGGTTAAGGCAAGACATTCCTGTACGGCTGACGACAGCATCGCAACTCGAAACCATGACACATGCATATGATAGTGGTATTTATTTTCTTAGACTTAGGCTAGAATGGGATGTTTTTAACTCAAACTCTTATTTATTTGATTTAGTCGTTTGTTGTGTCGTTTTAAAGATGTTGTCGAAATACGTAAGTCCATGGCTGTGTTTTGAGATAAAAGTTATGTTTTATGGAATTTAAATGAAGTCTTCCGCATTTAATGTTTATGATAAGTATACAGTAGCGATCTTAAATTAAGTAGGAAATTTCAGGTCATTACAAGTAATCTATGTAGGTTACAACATTAACTCCTATATTAAAAACAAACAAATATTTAAATTATAATTAAGCAGTGTAATGAATGAAATGTGTTTATTTGTCATCCTTGGACTAGTTTCATAAATTTAGCTGAGTTCATTAAATGCAACTTACGATCAATTCTATCATCAAAAGGAACGGGTTGTTGTAAATTATGATACCTACTTCCATGGTCTCTCCCTCGCATCAAGCCACGACCAACCGCATGTGGATTATCCTAGTGGTGATTAGAATTGTCACCCTCATATTTATTGGTTGAGGGTGCAGGTAGTGGAATCCTCTATCGAGCTTGATTTTGAATCTCCAATCTTCCTATTCGATCGATCAACTCTTCTATTCCTCGAATTAGTCTTTCCATGGTTCATTGTTGGGCTTCTCTCAATCGTGAATCAGTAATGTTAGTGTCTTTTGGATTTTCCATGCTACAAAAGAAAGTTTAAAATATATATATATATATATATATGGAATCAACCCAAGGAAAAGTATGAAACAGATTACTTTGATGATTAAGATCAAGAGTAAAGAAAACTCGTTTCTAAACTCGTGATCCGAATCACTCCACAAGAGGTTTGATCACTACCACTTGAATGAGTCTAGCATGCAAGTTTTAAACACAAGAATTTGCAAAGAAGATCTTAGCTCTCAACAAAGCCAAAAAAATAGAAATTGTAACGACCCTAAATTTCCACATATCTAGAGTCGCCACTAACGTCTCATGCTCATCTCTAATGCAAAATGTAAATCTAAGATTGCTCATATTTATTGGCGGAAAAATTTAAAACTTCAAAATATATTCAAACATTAGAAAACACTACCGGACTTATGTGTTTTAAACATCGCTGGAGTTCAAAATAAGATAAAAACAATTACAAATTAAATAATTTAAATGAATGAAATACAAATGTCCTACCTAACCAAGACTAGGAATTTTAAATATGCAACTATCCTATGCACGCGCCACAATCTCTGATCACGATGCCGCCGTCGACCGTACATGGGCGCCTTGGCTTTACCTGAAAAAATAATATGGCACAGGCCGGAGTATTTCGAGAAATACTCAGTAAGTGACCCCACTATAGGGGTCATGCTAATGCAAACACATGCAATCATGAATTAGGGACCTATCTCTAATCATCTTAAGAGTGACCTTCAGTCTCGGACAAATTGGATGTGTAGTACTTCCCTACACACGACTCACACGTGCGAATGTGAATCCCCAGGGCGCTCGCACACCCCTAGACTCTCTGGTCAAGCTAATCTGTAGCGACGTCCGAAGGTCAGCGGAACCCCATAGTGTCATGCACCTCATGAACACCTTCATCTTTGTGCTTTCGCACCTGTGCGCATTTGCGCTCATCATATAGTGCGCGTCTGCACTCATCATCTCTAGGGGAAGTAGCCATATACTTATTGTTCAACATGGAAAACATCATCATGTTAATAACATCATCATGCATACATCATACTCATCATAGAAGTCATTAAGTGCATCAAATATAACATGTATGTCATGCATCGAAACATAAATAGCGTACATTTAATAGACATCATAGCACAACGTCATACACACACATCATCATAATTCAAACAATTTTTAGCCTATCCTATAGTAAGACCACTTACTTGGTTGGTCTTGGCCGAAGTACTCCCTAAATAGCTAAACGTAAAAACTCGTTCCATGAGAGCTGCTTCCTACGTTGTCGGGGTTTGTTTCCTATCACACCGTTCACCACTTTTCGTTAGTATTTCACAATTAATTTACCTATAATTCAATAAATGTGAAATACGGCTCTAAAATGGTCTCGGATACCTTAATCGGGGACGAAAACAAATTCGAGAGAGTCAAAATAGTGGAAACCGGGCTGAAAAAAGGTGAGCCAAGCCGAACAGCCGCTAGAGGAGTCGTCGGAGCATCACCGGAGGGAGCCCGAGTCATTTGCGCCGAGCCGAGCTGAAAGACTTCCTACGCCGCTGTGTGACACGTGGCAGCAACAGAGCGAGCCATGTCGTGCGGCAGCGTCGGGTCGAAGCGAGGGTCACAATCCAGTTTGGGTCGTGGATGGGGTCGCGGGCTGCGGAAGGCTACTAGGCCAAGACTAATCGTTGGGCCTCGGCTTACTGGGCTGGGTCGCAAGTGTTTGGGCTGTAGGCCGGCTCAATTGGACCGTGGGTCTGGTCTCGGGTTGGTTCAACTAAACTGTAGCTTTTGAGCTGGTTTGAGGTTTGGGTCGCTGTAGTTGAGCTGGGCCGATGGCAGAGGCCGAGGGAAAAAATGGGTTGGCTCTCTCGGGTTTTGAGTTCGGGTTGACCTGGATCTGTGGATCTCGTCTTTGATATGAACCAAAAGACATCAATCATACAATATACTTTAATGAAGATGTGAAGAAAAGATTGTCAAAATTATCAAAAGATGTTTCAATTCCACATTGAAGAAGAATGAAGTTTGATTGTTATAAATTTTGGGTGGGTTACAATTCAAAGTAATTTAGAGTTCTCGTATTTTAAGACTTTCTATTTACTTTAGGTTACAATTACATAATGGTTAATTATGGTCATTAAGTATGAATGTTACAACTCTTGGAATGCTTTTAATAGTTTTATTTTGAGCTGCCATGTATGTTGTATTGTGAGTAGACTTGGAAAATGTAGTAAAAGAAGCATTTGTGCTCTTCTTTAGCCAATGGCCAAGTTTCTTTGCAGTTCTATGTAGTTTAGGTTGCATGTAGAATCATTCAAGCTCGACATGATCAATCTTGCTTGTGGAGTGATTCGAATTTCAAACAAGTGTTTTTGCGTTGAGATATTTGATCAATAAGAATCATTCAAGCTAGACATGATCGATCTTGCTTGTAGAGTGATTCGAATCTCAAACAATGTTCTTGTCTTGAGATATTCGATCAACAAGGTAATCCAAATCTTAATCCCCTTGTAGTGATTCCTTATCTTATCAGTCTTCCTTACCCGACTTCAACCAATTTTCGGGCGAGTTTTCTCTCTCCTTCCCGCGGCGTTTCCGTTGCCGATTTCGGTCCTCTTTCTTCCTTTTCCTCTTTATGTGTCGTCCTTCTTTCTTTTCTGGGAGTTTTGCGGCCTAAAAGTTCCTAAAACCACAAATCTAAGAACGATTAGGAAAACCCAATTTTCCGACCTCGGTTACCGACGACGACGCTTACGAAAAAGCACAAAATACACCTTGAGTTATTGTGCTTTCGTTAGGGATCCTTCTCATGATGGTAACTGATCGTTTGGTGTCGATTTTTGGGTGGTTTGGGGGCTCGTCGGAGAAACTGAAAACTCGCCGACGTTTATCCGAAATCTCTCTCTCTCTCGTATTTTCTTTCTTTTCTCCCTTTGCAGGTATTCTAATAGGTGCTGGGAGTTGTGGGCTGAAGGCTAGGCGTGGTGTGGCCGTCGTTTCGCATGGGGTCCGCGAAACTCAGCGGTCACCAAAAAACTCTCGAGTTTTTCGGCGACTGAGTTTATTTATTTATTTTTTTCTTTCTCGAGTCATTACATTATCTACCCCTAAAAAGAACTTTCGTCCTCGAAAGTCTCAAACTCTTGTACCAATTCGGGGTATTTTTCTCTTATTTCGTCCTCACACTCCCACGTGGCTTCCTCACTGTGGTGATTCCGCCACAATACCTTAACGAACGCAATGCTCCTGTTGCGTAAGGTTTTTACTTTTCTAGCTAAGATTCTTACTGGTTTTTCCTCGTAGCTCAGATCTTCATTGAGTTGGAGTGGTTCGTAATCTATTTCGTGGATAGGGTCCGTAATGTACTTCCTCAGCATCGACACGTGAAATACATCATGTACACCTGAGAGGGCTGAAGGTAGGGCTAACTTATACGCTACTGGACCAACTCGCTCTAGGATCTCGAATGGTCCAATGAATTTAGAGCTTAACTTGCCCTTATGTCCGAATCTTAACACACCTTTCATAGGTGCCACCTTGAGGAATACTGGGTCCCCTATCTCCAAACTCCAGGCTTTCACGCCTTACATCGACATAGATTTTCTGTCTACTTTGAGCGGTACGCATCCTCGCTCGAATTTTCTGGACAGCCTCATTGGTGAGTCGAACCAGCTCGGGTCCTACTAATTCTCTCTCTCCTACTTCGTCCCAACATAGTGGGGACCTACACCATTTCCCGTACAGGGTCTCAAACAGTGCCATTCCAATAGTTGCTTGGAAGCTGTTGTTATACGAGAATTCCATCAAGTGGAGTTTGGAATCCCAACTTCCCTTAAAATCTAGTACGCAAGCGCGTAGCATGTCCTCTAGAATTTGGTTTAAACGCTCCGTTTGTCCATCTGTTTAGGGGTGAAAGGCGGTACTAAAGTCGAGGCGGGTACCCAGTGCTTCTTGAAGTCCGCGCCAAAAAGCTGACGTAAAGCGTGGATCCCGATCCGACACTATAGACATTGGGACTCCATGTAGTCTTACTATTTCTTTCACATCCAGTTGGGCCCAATTGTCAACTGTATATGTAACCTTCCTAGGTAGAAAGTGTGCCGACTTGGTCAACCTATCGATAACTACCCAGATCACTGTATAGCCTTTGGGCGTTTTGGGTAAACCTACTATGAAGTCCACCGCTATGTTTTCCCACTTCCACTCTGGTATGTTTAAGGGTTGCAACAACCCGGCCGCCTTTTGTCTTGGAGCTTTCACTTGTTGACAAACTAAGCACTTGCTCACAAACCCGGCCACATCCCTCTTCATGCTCTTCCACCAAAAGTGTTGTTTTAAATCTTGGTACATATTAGTACCTCTTGGATGCGGCGAGTTGTGAGCTTCCATCAGTATCTCTTTCCTTAAATCTTCTATTGCCAGAACACATAAGCGTCCCTAATACAATAGTCCTTCGTCCGATGACTTCGAGAATCCATCTACCGGACTTTCGTCTAGCTGTCCTAGGGCTTTCTGTAAGTTAGGATCCTTTCGTTGGGAGGTAATAATTCTCTGCCTAAGCGTAGGTTGTACCGTGAGTCGGTCCAGCTGTGCTATGACTCCCTTCGTCGCTACAGCTATGTTGGCTCACTCGAACTCTCTTTGTACCCTTACTACAATCGTAATGAGGGCCGACGAGTGGACCATCTTCCTACTCAAGGCATCTGTGACCACGTTTGCTTTTCCAGGGTGGTACTAGATATCTACATCATAATCCTTCACCAATTCTAACCACCTTCTCTGCCTCATATTTAACTCTTTCTGGGTGAAGAAGTATTTCAAACTTTTGTGGTCGGTAAAAATTTGGGTTTTCTCTCCATACAGGTAATGTCGCAATATTTTCAGCACGAACACTACAACGGCCAACTCTAGGTCGTGGGGTAGTTCTTTTCATATTAATTAAGTTGACGAGATGCGTATGCGACAACCTTGTCGTGTTGCATTAATACACATCCCAGTCCTTTCATGGAGGCATCACTATAGATCACATACCCTTCTGAGCTCTCGAGTACTATGAGTACGAGGGCGGTTACCAATCTCTCTTTTAGGTTTTGGAAGTTTGCCTCACAAGCATCATCCCATCTAAATGGTACCATTTTTTTGTTAACTTTGTTAAAGGCGAGGATATTTTAGCGAAGTCCTGCACGAACCTTCGATAGTATCCCGCCGATCCTAGGAAACTTGATATGTGGTAATCACTACGAGGGGAGTAAGATTCGGAATACCTTGTTGATCGAATATCTCAAGGCAAGAACATTGTTTGAGATTCAAATCACTTCACAAGCAAGATCGATCATGTCTAGCTTGAATGATTCTTGTTGATCAAATATCTCAACGCAAGAACACTTGTTTGAGATTCGAATCATTCCACAAGCAAGATTGATCATGTCGAGCTTGAATGATTCTACATGCAACCTAAACTACATAGAATTGCAAAGAAACTTAGTCATTGGCTAAAGAAAGCACAAATGTTCCTTTTACTATATATTTTCAAGTCTCTTACACATACAACATACATGGCTTTATATAGCCGCAAAATGAAACTATTAAAGGCATTCCAAGAGTTGTAACATTCATACTTAATGACCATAATTAACCATTATGTAATTGTAACCTATAGTAAATAAAGTCTTAAAATACATAAATGAAATACAATAACTCTAAATTGTAACCCACCCAAAATTTATAACAATCAAACTTCATTCTTCTTCAATGTGACATGAATTGAAACATCTTTTGATAATTTTGGTGGCATGAATTGAAACATCTTTTGATAATTTTGACAACATTTTCTTCACATCTTCATTGAAGTATATTGTATGATTGATGTTTTTTGGTTCATATCAAAACTCCTTACTTCCATTACCGTAGTTGGGCATTCCCTCTTTATGATCGCTTCGACCTTGGTGGGATCTACAGATATACCGTCCTTTGACATCATGTGTCCTAGGAAAGAGACTTGTCGTAACCAAAATTGACATTTGGAGAACTTGGCGTACAACTTGTGCTCTCTTAGGGTGGTTAGGACTTTTCGGAGGTGTTCCTCGTGTTCTCAGTCTGTTTTCGAGTATATACGGATGTCGTCAATGAACACGATCACGAACATGTCTAGGCCTTCCTTGAATACCCGGTTCATTAACTCCATAAACACAGCTGGGGCATTGGTGAGGCCAAATGACATCACTACGAACTCGTAGTGACCGTACCTTGTCCTAAACGCTGTTTTTGGTATGTCTTTTTCATTAATCCTAATTTGGTGGTAACCTGACCGAAATCTATCTTGGATAATATAGTTGTCTCTCTAAGTAGATCAAACAAGTCTTCTATTCTAGGCAGAGGGTATTTGTTTTTTTTATGGTTCTCTTATTTAGCTCTCTGTAATCGATGCATAGACGCATCGATCCATCTTATCCATCTTTCTTCTTAACAAACAACACTGGCGCAGAGGATATTTATTTTTTTTATGGTTCTCTTATTTAGCTCTCTGTAATTGATGCACAGACGCATCGATCCATCTTTCTTCTTAACAAACAACAGTGGCCATCTTTCTTCTTAACAAACAACAGTGGCCATCTTTCTTCTTAACAAACAACAGTGGCCATCTTTCTTCTTAACAAACAACAGTGGCCATCTTTCTTCTTAACAAACAACAGTGGCGCACCCCAGGGGGACTCGTTAGGTCGAATGAATCCTTTATCTAGTAAGTCTTGCAATTGCGCCTTAAGTTCCTTCAACTCTACGACCTAACTCCATTGTTGTCGGCAAACCATAAAGCTCAAAATCATGGTTGTAGGCCATCACTTTTAAGAGTGGATCAGTTTTAAGATGACAACGCGACCTAACTCAATTATTTTTTTATTATTCAACGAACCGTCTATGACCGAGTCTCTTAAAGAGTGGATCATTATATTTCTCATTTATATTCAATATGTCTAATATATTTAACATTAATTTGAACCTTTCAAAATTTTCTTTAACTAAATTGATTAATGTTACTAAATTGATTAACCTTACTATCAACTAGTAAGGTGACTTACGGATTATAAACTTAATTAATTAAACTCTTTAATTAATTAATTAATGTTCATGGTCAAACCTCGAGTTACACTTGAGTCAAAAATAAAAAATTGTCTCCTTTAATATAATCATTATGAGCAAATCAATATTACACTTGAGTCAAAAATAAAAAATATATTTTACTTTTGTAATTATATCTTTCACTTATCTACCACGGATTCTATAATAAATATCCAACAATAAACTAAGTCCATTTTAGACTAGTGAGAATGTGAAACCCCATTGTTCAAATCTCGATCAACATCTAATAGAATTACTCCTCTACTTTCCCTATATGGGAAGAAGTGAGTTCCATCTTGTGAATTGTGTTTTCATCTACATATTTGGTAAAGTCCCAACAAATTGTATCAAATAATTAATTACAAAGCTTGCATTTACCTTTATGATCCTCCATCTGAATATGTTGCTTTTTACCATCTTAGGATCATATTTGGGGTTTAACTTCCCTTGCACCCTTCGCTCCAACGTTTCCTTGTCTATGTCTACCATGCTCCAACACAGTTAGCTCCTAGTGGGAGCTTGGTTGCTACATTTTGGGACTCCAAGTTGTAGGGAGATCAACTGAAACAGAGGTTCAACATCTTATGTCCCTCCAATGCCTGAAAAGTAATGGAAACAATAAAAATCAAGGGATGTTCTTGGTTTTATGATTATAACATCTTACTTCATCACCTTCTTTTTTGCAGCTTCACGTTCATAGCATTCACCAACCTCTCAGTCTTTGCCTCAACCATCATTCCCTTCAGTGTCATCTCCCTATAATAACGCAACCCCTCTTCTTTTCTTCCCTTCTCGTACAAACCGTGTATCATAATCGTGTAAGACCGACGGTCCGGTCCCAACCCTATCTCTTCCATTTCATTCCAAGTACACTTAACCCTTTCCTCAATATCCCACTCCATGTACAGTCGCAATATCAGATTGTAAGTGTCACTGCTCATCTTGCATCCACTCCTCTCCATCCTTTCCACGAGTTTCGGAATTTCCTCCGGTTCCCTCACTGACGCAAGTAAGTAGCTAAACGTCACAGAATTCGGCCAACAACTTCTATTCCTCTCCACCATTTCATCTAAAAGCTCATTAACCTTCTCCATCCTCCTTATCTTACAGAGGTGTTTGATGAGAGTGTTGTAAGTTGCTACATTTGAGGCACACCCTCTCTCGTTCATTTCCTTGAAGATCTCTAGAGCTTCAGGAATCCTCTTCTTGAAACAAAGTGCATCAATGATGCAATTGCAGATTACAACATCGGGTTTTAAGCCCTTCTCCCACATGGCTCTATACAAATTCAAAGCCGTCCCTAACTTTCCCTTCTTTGTCAATGAGTTTATCAAAGTCCCATAAGTGTATATATCAGGCTCCCACTTCGATTCAATTATCTCCCTCCAAAACCTCTTGGCTTCATGAACATTTCCCAACACACACCACCCATTAAGAACAATATTACTCGTCTTAATATCAGGAAAAAACTCATGCTTCTTGGAGTGGAACAGGGTCTCTGCAATTTCTACATGCTTGTATCTACATAACCACATCAAAAGTGACTGAAACGCTATCAAATTCATCTCAAGACCAAGTTGTTGCCTTCTGTGGAAGATGTCAATTGCTTCCTCCACCTTATGAGCTGCAGCATATCTATTAAGAAGAACTAAATATGTTTCCTCATTAACAAGTTTTTTTCTCTTGGACATTTCTACAAACACCTTGTCTACTTCCTCGAAGCGTCTGGATTTCCCAAGAATATCAAGAATCTCATTGTAAATAACAGAACCAGGGGAGTACTCACCTTCTCCATTACCTCTTTTCGTGACCCAATTGAAGAAATCGAAGGCGGGTTTCCAATCCGATCGATGCCTTCGCAACACTTGGAGAACAAAATCATCGGTTAAGACGAGGCTGCATCGATTAAGAGCCGTCTCGATCTCCTCCACCGGTTTGTGTCTTCTAAATTTGAGGACGTTTTGGACATAAACAGCAGATTGGTCATAAACGTTGAAGGAATCATCTGAGACAGCAACTGGGTTTGAAAGTTTAGTCGTTTCATGACAGTTTCTCGTCGTTTCATAAGTTTGGGTATGATGAATATGATCGGAGATGCCGAAGAAGGGCCTGTATGAAATGGGAGTGTGAGGAAGAACACCTTTTATCAGGTATGCTTGGAACCCTAATCTGAATTTTCCATGGAAATTTTCCGCCGCATTGTTCCTCAACCATAGGAATTTGAACCTCATATCGAGCCCTTGGATCACAAATGGGAAATGGGGCTCTTTCAATACGGAAGACTAGATTATAGATTATAAAATTACTTCTTAATTTTGTTCATGGTCTTTCAAAATTGTAACACCTTTGTTAACTCCAACATTTCAAAATTATAGGGGACAAGGGTCTTTTAACAACATGAACGCGGCGACAATGACTAGAACACTCACAACTTTCATTCAATATTTTTACCATCTTTTAACAACATGAACGCGGCGACAATGACTAGAACACTCACAACTTTCATTCAATATTTTTACTTCAATAGTAATTTTAAATTTATGAAATGCGGATGGTAATATTGTAATTTTATAGAGAATAGTAGTATTTTTTTTTATAATTTAGGCCTTAGAAAAATAAAATGTACCAAATTTAATGTAATTATTTCAAATCAGGTCTCTCTTACTATCCCTCTTAATGCAATATACTCTACAATTTTTGTGGAGGAACAAGTCGATTGAGTTTCCTATGAAAATATATGAAAATGTAAAGAAATCGAAAAACTAAATAGGGAGGAGACACATGTCATGCAGCGAGTTTCTTACACACGTGTTATTAGTCTTGGGATTCTGATTGCGCAGGCGAGCAGGGAGGAGACATGCGTCATGTAGCGATTGGCAGAGTGCGGCAGTGTTTGACACGTGGCATGCTTCGGATGGTGCAATGTGGCTAGATTTGGTGGTGAACATCACTCGGACCCACACTTGAGAATCATCCCACGGTCTGATCCAAACCTATGCCATCGACCTAAACCGCACAAATTGATTCAACTTGGGGAACGAGACCCACGAGTATCCCTCACCATGCACGTAAGGGACCTTCTACGCATGTAAGTCCCTTTTTTATTCACTTAACCTCCGTTCTTACTATATTTCACCTCAGTTTTGATATTAGCCTTAATTTTACTTAAGCGATGACCTACCAATGAATTTTAAGAAAATTTGTTGCCAAAAACAAGCTTAAAAAGGCATGTTTCATCCTGGTAACTAGTCACACCGTCTCTGGGCAAGTAAGGCTTACAGGGATCACTACGGCATGCTAGCATTCGAGCATTCCCTACCTTAGGTGGATAGAATATTCACGTTTAGGACTACAAAAGGACAATTTTGGATAAGAATGCAGTGTAAGTACAATATAAAAAATTACCAAATTGCTCCAATAATGAGATTTGTTTGTTTGATTGATTACATGAATGCTTAGTTTATCTTTTAGTTATTTTATATTGATTTGAAGAGCGCTTAGATCATGTAAACTATGCTCTAGGGGATCAATGGGATAGTCTTCCTAACAAAACATATACCAGAGAACCAAGTTGAGACTATGGCACAAGAGCTAAAGTGGTTTGAGCCAACCCAAGTCAGAACATTTTTAATACACCGAGCACCATAGAATCATGAACGGAGTCAAAAGTTTAGACCTACGGGTACACAGAGTATGTATAAGTCAAGGAATTAGTCCTAAATGTCTTTGAAACAATAGTTGAGAACCAAACTGCCTAGACACCCTAAAAAACGGGATTGTGGAATCCGGTGAGTGACTAAACTTGGGAGGGATTTAGTATTATGAAGAGAGTTTGTGAGAGATTTTTCTCAAGGTTTTTTCCATGTACCACGATCACTCTATTTATAGAGTCATGTTTGCATGTTTATGCAAATTTGGGATCACCAAATTTTGACACTCAAAATTCCACTCAAATGTTTAGGATTATGTGAAGCATGCATGCTTGAGTTAACCAAATTTTGACACCTCAAAATTCTACTAACATGATTTTTCCATTAAATGAAGTTAACATTTTGAATTTCTTCATTTTGATTCAACCATCCATTTGAATTATTAATTTCAAATTAAAGTAATATTAAATTATTAATTAAACTATTTAATTAATATTTAATATTAATTCAAATGTCAATCTCAATTAATTCGGACACATATTTGATTAATTTAAATATCTCAGATTCTCTCTTTTTGTTTAATTCGTAAATAAAACAAAAATGTTGTTAAATATATCGTATATATGTAGTGCATTCTCCCTAATTTGAATTCGAACACTTCGAACTCACTCGTCACACTGTCCTATGGATTAGTTCGATATGAACTAGCAGAGGGACCTAATGGACCTACAGATCATGGGCTCCAACAATCCAAGATTAAACTGTTAAACTCATTAACCTTGTTAACCAACATTCGTTAACTACTAGGACATTCCACTATAGCCTAGTAGTTGCACTCCCCTCACTATAGATATATTTCTGTCCATTTGATATAACCATGATTAGTAAGTCGATCCTTCACAGGTTGTTCGTAACTAGAGTTGGGTCAATTTACCGTTTTACCCCTGAAGTTACTTCTGGTTTCTTATGTCTCACTTATCCTCTAATGAACAATTGGTTTGTGGTCCAACTAGTAAACCGAATCCCTCTTAGGCCAATGAGAGAGTGGGGCCCCTTGTTCAAGACCTAGAGTCAGTATTTAAAAGAACTACGTCTCTTCTATTCCTAAAAGTGGGTAGGAGTGAATTCCATCTTGCACTACTCAAATTTGAGAATTTGAGAATTTGAGAATGCTGTTAAATCCTTTAAACAAAAAAGTCATAAAAATAGCAAACTTGTCTGGATGCTATCTAAAATTCAAACTTGGAGGGGTTGTAGCTGTTATTTGTTGTGTTCTTGTCATGTTTTTTCTAATGTCGGATCCCATGTTCCTTTGTTTTTCCTAAATCTCCAATGGTTTCTTCTATTTTATGTGTGTTATTATGTTCTTTGCGTTTCAAATATTCATCCAATGCAAGACCCTAAGCGTCCATTCATGAGTTGCATTCGAGTTGTCAGAAACAAGAAAAAGTTGATGAATTTCTTGCCATGTTTCATATCAGAGGAGAGATTCAATAGGAAATGTTTGGAAAAGAGCATCGAGGAGTATTATGAGACTAAAACTTTAGCCTCACTCGCTATCATTTCCCTCGAATCTGGTACCTTCTCTCCCTCTTCTTACCACTTCATTCGTTTTCGGGTTTGAATTTCCTTACTCGAAAATTGTATTTGAACATATTCAAATGTTATCTCGTAATGTCCTTCTCATTCAAATTTGGAAATTTTGGAATTTGTTTAAACGAATGGGAAGATTTATGGTATATAACTAATGTTTGTTTGAACCCGATTGTTCTGAATAATTGATATCAGATTCATGCCTCAAACTTGGTTATTTCAATAGAATTCTAAAGTTGATGAATTTTAAAGGCAAAGTTGTCACATGGAATTATGGATAAAAACCCTTAGATGCCAAACGATTATGGAATATGAGTTGTGATTAGGTTCTATCAAATGTGTTGTCCTCCAAAAAGAAAAGCTAGTGTAGACCTTCGAAAAAAGGAAGTAAAACTTTCACCACCGACAAGATCTACCTTCAAATTTAAAGGCACAAGTATCGGGATTATCCCAAGAGATTAGTCCAACAAGGCGGATGGGCTACATTAGCATGTGTCGTAGACGTAAGAGGAAAATAAAAAAAAAAAAACCCTAGAAAACGTGTCAATAGTAAATGAGTTCCCGGATGTATTTCCAAAGGAGAGATATTGTGGATACCTAATATGTATCTAGATGTCTTATAGGAAAGGAAGTTAGACGTAGATAGTAAACAAACGTTTGCTTTAGAGAATAGAAACTAACCCAGATAGATAGATGACCCATTTGAGAGGAGACAATAGTACTTTGTTCATGCGGAGGACTATTAGAAATGCAATTGAAGGACTATTAGAAATGCAATTGAAGGATCCCTAATGACAAAAATCTGGACAGATATAAGATTTTTTTAGATAAACTAATAAGCAATGTTCATAATGTTTTGCTTGATCATAATGTTTTGTGGTAAACTTGTAGAGAACAATAAGCGAAGGTACACAACAAAGGAGACAAAGAAGAAAGGCAAAGAGAAAAGCTTCGCACAAAATTTCACATTTCGTCAGCTATGCGTGGCCACAAATAACTTCAGCCACCACAATCTCTTAGGGGAAGGTGGCTTTGGAAGAGTTTACAAAGGCCTCATTGACACCACAAAACAAGTACCTATCAATCTTTACTTTCCTTTCCTTTGCACATTCTATTAATTCATGAGTGTTCTATTGATTATTCCTCTTCCTTAGGTGGCTGTGAAGCAACTTGACCCAAATGGGTATCAAGGCAATAGAGAATTCCTTGTGGAGGTTCTAATGCTAAGCCTTCTTCGCCATCCCAACCTTGTCAATTTGGTTGGGTATTGCGTTGATGCATATCAAAGGATTTTGGTGTACGAGTACATGCCTAAGGGTTCCTTGGAGGATCATCTTCTTGGTATAGCTTCAGATAAGGGAGCTCTAGATTGGAAGACAAGGATGAAAATTGTGGAAGGAGTAGCTAAAGGGCTTGAATATTTACATGAAACGAATCCACCGGTGATATTTCGGGACTTCAAAGCTTCGAACATATTGCTCGATGAGGAATTCAATCCAAAACTCTCGGATTTTGGACTTGCAAAGCTAGGTCCCATGGGTGATAAATCTCATGTTTCCACTAGAGTGATGGGAACCTATGGCTATTGTGCTCCTGAATATGCTCTTACCGGACAATTGACTACCAAATCTGATGTCTATAGCTTTGGTGTCGTGTTCTTGGAGATCATCTCTGGGAGAAGAGTTATTGACAACACGAAGCCAAGAGCGGAAAAGAATTTGCTTGCATGGGTTTGTTTTCTTTTTCTATACACTGCATTCATTTCATCTAAACTTGTTGGGAGGGAGTTCTACGTTGGCTAATTTAGGAATGATTATGGGATTAAAGGAATGAATACATCTCCAATGATATGAGACCTTTTGGGGAATCCCAAAGCAAATCCATGAGAGTTAATGCTCAAAGTGGACAATATCATACCATTGTGGAGTTTCGTGATTCATAACATGGCATCACAATCATACCCTTAATTTAGTCATGTCAATAGAATTCTCAAGTGTTGAACAAAGAAAGTGTTAGTCTCGAAAGTATAGTCAAAAGTGACCATGTGTCGAATAAATGGTGTACTTTGTTTAAGGGCTCCAAAGAAAGGAGTCGAGTCTTGATTAAGGGAGAGGCCCTTCGAGGGCTACATAGACCTCTAGGGAGACTCTATGGTGTACTTTGTTCGAGGAAAAGATTGTTGAGGATGGTTGGGAGGGAGTCCCACCATGGCTAATTTAGGGAATGATCATGGATTTATAAGAAAAGAATACATCTGCATTGATATGAGAGTTTATGCTCAAAGTCGATAATATCATACCATTGTGGAGAGTCGTGATTCCTAACAATTCCTAAGCTCGATTATTACTTGATTACAGGCACAACCACTTCTCAAAGATAGAAGGAAATTCATGCTGGTAGCGGATCCAAAGCTAAAAGGAAAATTTTCAGTGAAGGCTCTGTATCAAGCGTTGGCGGTAGTGTCTATGTGTTTACAAGAAGATGCAAGTACTCGACCAATGATTAGCGATGTGGTCATGGCTCTACAATATTTAGCTATAAACAATGATGTCGATGTCGATGTAGACAACGAATCGAATTCGGGGTTGGGATGGGGATTAAGTTCAAATCGAGGCTCAACTACTCCTAATAAAAGTAGTGATAATGATGATAAAAAGAGTGTTGATTTTTAAAATGAGAAAACAGGAACACAATGCATAGCCCTTTTCCTTCATTGTTTTTTATAATATCAGGCCCAATTTTTTAGGTTTCAAAACCCGAACCACGACCAAAAAGACAAAGATCAAAAGAAAATAAAATAATAAGTAAAAATACTATTTAAATGAAAATAAAGACAAAAAAGAAAACAATTAAATACAAAACCATATTTTTCAAATTTATTACAAAGGGAGAATTCAATTACAAATTGAATTACGAAAGATTCAAAATATAAAAATGGACTAACGCTCCGGAACGACTCCTTCTATAACCGTGCAGTTTTTAAACGCTCCCCACCTCGACTAGTAGCCTGCCATTGAAAATAAAGGGAAAAACAGTGAGTATAAAAACATTCCGTAAGCAACCTACTAATAGGCTCTTGCCACATCTTTAACCTAGTAAATTACCTGAGCTTTTCTTGAGCTCTAAGAAGTTCGGGCCAAGTTCAAGAATTCTCCTGACTGTTACCACATTTGATATCCTTATGTTATTACTTAATGTAGTCTCTTGTCCCCTCTCAAGATGGGATATATTCTACATGCAATAGTAGTTTCTCCCGTTATCTACTTATGTAGTCTCTCCTCCACTCTCAAGGTGGTTTTGTTTTATACACGATAGCAGTTCCTTTTGTTATCTACTTATGTAGTTCGTCGTCCATCTCAAAGCGGGTTTTTTCTACCCATAGTAGTAGTTCCTCTTATTATCTACTTATGTAGTTTCTCTTCCCTTTTCAAGGCAAATTTGTCCTACACACCGTAGCAACTCCTCTTGTCGCCTACTCATGTAGTCCATCGTCCTTCCTCAAGGCAGGTTTATGGGTTCTGACCCATTTTTACACGTAGTAGTGGTTCCTCATGTTCTCTACTTATGTACTCTAGTGTCTCCTCTTAAGGTGGATTTACATTTACACATAGTAGCAATTTCTCATGTCGCCCACTCATATACTCCCTCGTCCCCTCTCAAGACGGGTAAGAACTTTGACCCCTTTCCACATACAGTAACGATTCCTTAAATTAATACTGTTCATGTTGCTAGCAGTCTCGTAAGTTCTCTTAAAATTTCTTGAGCACCATAGAGTTTTACTAGGTTGTTGGGGCATTTAAATGGTTTAAATCTCATTTAACGTTTTCAAGACGTTTAGAGTTTGCTTCTCAGGGCTAAATCCACTTTTGGGTGCACTCGTGTCTAGGCCTCTGATCGCCGCTCACAATCCTAGTGTGCTCGGTCTACTGAAAACATTCTAATCTAGGTCAACGTGAATACCATTCTAGCTCTAGTTCTCTAACCCTAACTTGGTCTAGGCATGCTTAGCTAGGGAGGTATTCTATTGATCACCTAGACCATGAAAATCATGACCTAAACGTACAGGCAAGCTCAACAGAAAGATGACATATATTAATCACTAGGAGCACACATCACACTATCTCATCCTTCTTTCTAATAGAGCAGAAAACATTAAAATAGAGATACATATCATTCTCATTCAAATTGCTCATTCTAAATCCTAATCATGCACATTCTAACTACCTAAGGCAAGATATGCTCGCATGCTAGAACATTCTAGAGATCCCTACATGTATTACGTGCCTAAAGTCCATGTGAATACTTACTTGGATGAAGTGTGCCCCTTTCAAGCTTGCTTTTATAATGGTTGGAAGCACCAAATTTCTTGAAGTAATACTTATGGGTCCTATTTCAAGTACTTACTTAAGGTTAGTATCGAAATTAGAATGAACACAATTGAACGGGTCAAAAAACCTTCCTCATGCACCCTCATGCACGGATGGAATGGAGGATAGGTCATCTCCCGCGTGCACTCCCTAGTTTGAGCCCAAACGTCTAGGGCTTCTCTAATTTACATAGGATTTTTCTTCGATCACCTCGTGTTCTTTGCCACCATTTACCGCGCATCCTTACAAGTACTTGACACATGTCACCTTCTCTGCCTAACACGATTCGCCACCCTGCCGTTGGCGCATATTAGCTTCTATTAAGATATAATATTTGAAAAATATATTATAATAATTAATTATGGAATATATCTTAAATATTCGTAATTAATATTTTTTTTCCTTTATGATTTGATTAGTTTATATATTCCTGAAATATTAGTGGTAGCTTGCATTCTATTTTAAAAGTTTTCAATAAAAATTACACCTTCCATCCCAATTCTATTTCTCCCAAGATTATTAGTGTAATGTTAAATAATATGTGATTGACATGCAAGAGCATATGTTCAAGTAATAATCTAAAGGGTCTGTAGGATAGATAATCTTGTGTATTTTATCCTAATAATGCTTTGGTATTTTATCCTAATAACACCGTTGATACGGCCTACTTTTGTTACAAATGATTAGATCCAAATCGTTCATGTGAAGATATATGAGTTGGAGACATACCCAATAGAGAGTTGGAAGAAATGAACGACTCAGTTGTAATTACGAACAACTCGTCAATGATCAACTTGCTTCTAATGATTATATCAACAACCGCAACTTGTCCTATAGCACAAAGAATGCAACTCTAGGTCTATAGTGAGTGACTCATAGTTAATGAATGAAAATTGATTGGTCAAAAGTTTAATTAATTAATTTTGAACAATTGGAGCTTATAATCGGTAGGTCCTTACCATCCCTTAGTAAATATAATAGTTGAAGAAAGATTCTACCAAGATTATAAATAGGAATTGAGTAAAAAAAACAAAAACCTACTTTCACCTTATTAGAGTCTTTTAAGTGTACCTTGTGGGTGCGGTCAGAGGATCTCTAATACATAGGCATATGAACATTGCTCCCTCCTTTATGATTTTTACGTTGTGGGGCCTACCAGGGAACTGACAACTAAATCCTACGAAAAATCTAATACTAATGTCCAACTATGAGTTCGAACCTATGAGAAGGTTGTGCCTTAAATACCTATGATATGTAGGTTGATGATTACGATAGAGACTAGTTTACTAATCAAGATGCCTTAAAACTCAAAGATAGAGCCGATGAGATAGTAAGCTTAGATGAGTTGAACTCCAAAAATTACTAGCCCGTTAAGCAAAGAGATATGATGGCTTCCACAACATTACCCTAAGTTGAGGTAGGATAAACCAAGTTAACCTAGGGGATAGCTTAGAAGAGCCTATGACTTAGGGATGAAATAAGAAACCCAAACGATCGCAAAAACTAAGTGAGATAAGATTTAAGAACAAACTAAGAATCTACAAACAAGCTACTTACGAACTATTTTTATACTCGTACATGTTATTTTATCCTTTTCAGATGAAGCTTGTGCGGCACAGTTGAGGTGAGGGCACGCAAAGGTGCAGGGTGGTAAGGTTCGAGATAGATCTGTGTCTTGCCTTTTTCCGATTTTATGTTTTCTATGAACTTAGTTATTAAGCATTTGCTCATTTTGTCAGTGTGGTTTTGTAAACTGTATTCCCGACATGTTCGAAATGATTTGATGTACTATTTGTTTTAAATTTTTGTAGCTTTTAAATATTTCACGTCAATTAGTGATGATGCATGACTTGAGCCTCTCGAAAAGTGAGTTGTTATAAGTTGAGAGCGAGTGAAGATGCGTGAGGTAGCTGTTTTCGCCCATTTGACCTCTATTTATCCATTTTTCAAGTTGATTTCAATAGTATTGATGTTTTCTCCTACTTTAGGGTTGCTCTTGATAAATTTGGAGGACATTGAATAAAGTTCGGGTGCTAAATTTGTACAAAAATGAATGCTGACGACACGTGTACGTAGTAGCATTTTAGCTCAACCCATTTAATTTTTGTTTAAAGGATAAACATGATATGAGTTGTTATTGACAATGTCTAATATTGGCAAGAGATTGATCTAAGCGATTAAATTAAGACTAATTGAATATGTCAAACGTAAGAAGGTATTTTATGAGTTAGTCGGGCCACAAGAAGCCGTGCAAATTTTTATACAAAATTTGCTTGTAAAATAATGGTACTAGGTTACATCACATGCGTAAAGCCTTAAATAATATGGTTTACTAAATAACGAGTAAATCCGCTTACAATATACAGTAGGGGCGTGATTGTACTCTATTTTGTCTCGGGTATGTCTTATGTTCGTGTGATTGATTGCTTTCAATAAGTGATGGGTCAAGTTTTATAGTTTCAAACTTAGTAAGACATATGTGTACTTAATAGTGCAAATGCAAACCAGGGATCTCTAACACACACACACACACACACACACACACAAAAAAAAAAAAAAAAAAAAAAAAAAAAAAAAAAAAAAAAAAAAAAAAAAAAAAAAAAAAAAAAAAAAAAAAAAAAAAAAAAAA